AAAAAAAAAAGACACTAGTTTGTGAATGAAATTAGGCGACTTACCTCTTTGTTGTAGTACTTTATGGCCAGTTAGATTGTTGTAGTACTTTATGGCCAGTTAGATGATTGTTTCTTGAATCTCCATACCAAAAAAATCTAATAGAAGAAAATGCATGGGTACTACCATACAGAGGATGGGGATACTGTAGAAATCTCCATATAATTAATATGTCATTGCCAAGAGAAGGAAAAATCAATGTTTTATTTTACTCTTTTCAATTATATATATATATATATAAGAAGACAACTCATCTTTTCACTAAGAAGATAAAAAATGATTCGGCAAAAAATTGTAACAAGGGAGAGGAGGGAGCTAAGCGTGCTAGTAGCAAATAAGTAAAATCAGGTCAGTGACTCTCCCATTGATAAGTTGAACATGAATATGACCACAGTCATTATCTGGTTGTGCCGCTGCCAGAGCCTTCTTGACCACCTGAAACATCTACAATGTTGGAAAAATACTTCCAAACAGTACTTTAGTAGGTCATGAGCAAGAAGCTAAGATCTCTGGTATCTATTTTTACTATGCAAATTGAACTGTAGTGAAGATTTCTTATGTGCAACTTCCTCCCAAATCATATTCACTGCATCCCCAGGCTGGCTTGGATATTGATACTCAAAGTGTTGTGTAATATCCTTTAACCTTTCCCACATCTTGGTCCATTCCTCTGGCTTAATTGAACGAAGGAGATTCAGCAGGTAGCCTTTTCTCACAGCATCTGATGCCTGGACAAATAAGGCAAATTCTGAGTAGTCCAAAACATCTTGAAAGGGTAGCTCAATTTTGTCACTAATGATCACAGGAACACAGTGGCTCGCAATGGCATCAAAGAGGCGATTAGAGGATGGAGTATCTCCAGCAATGTTTGGGCAAAATTTGGACAAGGCCATGCCCTGACTTGCCTGACTGATCCCATTTCTTCTGAAGCTTCCAAATGCAAAATGCACATCTTTCTCATCTTTGAGGAGGTAATATAGTTGTTGGCGAATAACTCCTCCCTAAAGAGTTTAACCATGACAATTAAATGAATTACAATAAATTAGCATTCATCCATATAGAATTAGTTACAATAATATTGATAATATGACGAAAGGTAGTAAAAATCACATCATTACTTGCTATGATGATTCAAAGAAAAGCTTGTTGAGATATAAATCAAGAGCATGTTTGGATACAAATTTGGAAGGGTTTTTGAGAGCTTATCTACTAAAAATTACTCTTTATTTTCAATATAGAATTTTTAAAAAGCATTTCTAACTTATATCTAACTAAGTTCAAAATCTCACATCTTTAGAATAAGAAGAGAAATAAAAGTTTTTATGATACACATAATCTATCGGTAACAAATTATTTTAGGTGATGACCAAAAACAAACTCAAAGTAAATAATATCTTACTAATATGAAGATGTGTGTACAAAATACCCTCAACAAACAACAAGATATGACTTTCCTCTTCATAAATATACCCCTCTCAAACAAACCAAACCCAATAACCCTATCAAGCTACCATAACAAGGATGAGTTTTTGATATTTTAATAAAGTAATCCTAAATTAGACATCCAATTTGGATGATGACTAAAAAAAAACTTAATGTGAATAATATTTTACTAATGTGGAAATGTGTGGACAAATTATCCTCTATAAACAACAAAGTATAATTCTCCTTTGATAAATATATCTTTCTCAAACAAACTAAACCCAATAACCCTATCAAGCTACCATAACATAACAAGATAAGTTTTTGATATCTTAACAAAGTGATCCTAAATCATACACCCAATTTATGCATTTTGATGATGAAGAAAATTACACGATATTGAAATGAACCATCAAAGTGCTTTCTGGCATGGGCAGCATGAAAATACAACAATGATCCTATCTATGATGGAAGTGGTGAAAATTCAACTAATTCATTGTAGGAGCAAAGGATTCAACTTAACTCTTCTATTCATTTCTTTATTGTTTTTTCTATGAATTTTAATTAAAGAACAAATTACAACTGAAACAAAAGTGCACAGTCAGCTAAGTAGAAAACAATATACTATACAGTCAAAATATGCATCTGGAGATCACAGGAGATACGGTGCTTATTACTAAAGATTAAAGACCGTGGAGAACAAAACTTTCCCTATTTTACTCGCAATTAATTATTTTTATGGACAAAATTTCTGAAACAAGAATTAACTCAGCTTCTAAACTCACCTTAATTTGCATCATGGAATATGTTTTATAACTTCTAATGCGTACAATCAATTACCAATTCAGCATAAATTACCACCCAAAACAGGGGAGAAAACTGTATTAAAGCATAATATTAATTAGAGCATGCATTAAAAAGATAATATTAGAGTAGGAGAAACTCACAGATTTCCTATATATTGCCCCCTGGAAATACAGAAGTGTAGAACGTTCCTCAAATGAAGCTGACTCAGCTCTTGGTATAGTGCTTAGTAAATGCCTATATGGAGCTATTATATCTTTCTTAATATTTGCCAATTCTGAAGGGTATCTTCCAAAATCTGCAAGCACAAGCATGGCAGAAGCCAAGTTTCTTCTTGCATACAGCATGCTGTTAGGATGGTGGGCCACAATCACATGATCCTTCCCTCTTGAACGTTTCCATTCCTCCCTCTCCATTAGGAACTGCACCAATCTCTCTTGCAACATTTTGTTAACACTAACTTTTTCCTTCCCATGGATTCTGGAATGCCGGTTGTAACTCAGAGAGGAGAAAAATGGCACAAAAATCACATCTGCTTCACTAGAATTCTGCACTCTAATTGCACTGCAAGGCCTGATAATTTTTGAAATGTCTGAAGACAGAAGATCAAGGACGAGCCAGTATTCCACACTATGCTGTAAATTAAGCCCACCTGGATATGGTGGGACTTGTTTGGGGTTACTCACACTAGGCCATGTTTGATTCACACTCCCCTTCCAACCCAACAACCCAAAGTGAAACTCTGGAGGTAAGTCATACATGAACACCCTTAAGAGAGCACGTGTTGAGTCACATGCCGACTTTCTCTGCTGCCTTGGAGAACTTGGTTTCTGGCTTGAATTATGATAAAGTTGATAGCTTTGTGGTTGAACTTTTGCATCTTCAGAAGGGAGGGGAGAGGGTGTTATTTGTTGCCTCTTGAAATTGGGTTTGAAGTGAAGTGATGTGTTGTTGACAACAATAAGCTCCAACATTGATCTAGGAATGAATGAGCGATTGCTCAAGTGGAGGAGGGAAAACGAAGACAGGACCAAAAGGAACATAGCCATGACCATCACACAAAATATAAACCTTGAGGGAACCATGTTCTTGTCTGACATTGTTGAAGAACAAGGTCCCAAGAAAGTAGCCTAGGAAATGCAACTAATAAATCAAAACAGCCACAGAAATTACAGAATGTAGTGACAGAATTTCTTCATTAAAGCCTAATTGCTTGCTGAAACACACAAAGTAAATGCCTTAAGTCCTTGGTATATGCATTGACCAGCAAAAATTGCACCATTTGGTAATAAACATGTATTCGAAAAATACGTAAATTATTGGTGAGTAAGTAATTTATAAATAGATTTGTAAGCGTTCACTTAGTTCTCTGACCCAAAAGGATGAAGTATCACAATTAAGAAAGGGCATAAGAAGACACGTGGCCCAATGAGAGAACCTTTAGGGGTTGAGTTGGACAATAAAGAGTAGCTGATAACAGTGATCAAGTTCACAGGTTGGACTGGGACAAGAGGAAGCAAGGAAGGCTTTGTTTGGCAAATTCGTGATTACCTATCACATTCACGTCACGTTTTTTCTATTCCGGCATTTTGAAATCCATTAAATAAATCAATAAATGAATTATCCTGAGATTCATTAACAATATCAGAGTTCAAAACCCTTTCAAAGTTGCTCCATCTCTTTATCCTTTCTTGTTTTTCAAATTAAAAAATCAAACGTTATTATAATTGCATATCCTAATAGAAAAAAATACTAGGCTCTCTTCGTTTAAAAAGAGATGAAATAATAAAATTCTCCTGATAAATTTTGTACCGTTAGAGATTAATATAATTATTAAGGATAAAATAACGAAATTAAAAAAGGACATTAAATAAAAAAATATCTTTTATTTTGGTATAGATTTATAATTTATAATTATTATAAAGATGACCTTATCTGATCTCTACTTTCTTTTTGATATTTTTCTATAAAAATATAAATTTAACTAATCTAATTTATATATTTATTGTTTTTACTAATTAGATTAAGTATACAAAATCTTATATGATTTAAAATTTATATGATAGTTTATCATATCACTTTATTTTAATACTTAATACGACTAAATACTCATTATTAGATAACATATTTTCAAAGGGCAAAATCATGTGCAAGTAATAGCATTATAATAATATTGACAGTAATAGATGATAGACATGAAGATAAGGTGGGTAAGACATATCATAGACATGAGTGGGTAGATTACCACGATTTTAATCAAATACTTTTTTATTGGGAGTAAAATATATTTTAACTAGTATTTTAGTATGTGTGTATTATATAAAAGAATTGTTTTTTATATAATTAAAAGTTATAATAATTAAAAAATTTTAATATATAAAATATATTATACTAAAATTCATAATAAACGTATATTTTTTAAAATATAACTTATATTTTAAATTATGACGTGTTATTTTTTTAAGAAAAAGGATTAAAAATCAATTTAAAGATAAAGTTAAAAAAGAACATATTAAAAGGGATAGACAGATAAATGGTCAAGTATAAATATGACGATTAAAAAGAGGATATTGAAAGATTAAAAAAAAAGGTATTTTTTTTGTCATGGTTGAGGTTTATTTATTTATTATTAATTGAAAGGCAGCGTACGGAATTGGAATGAATATCCAATGATCTAAAAGATAAAAAAAAATACTAAAAATATTTAACTAGTAAAGTATGAGTTTTATTATCGAATTATATGTTTTAATTTGTAATATTGAATGATTTTACGTTGCAAAAAGATTAATTTAATTTTTGGGTAAAAATATTATTAATTCACACTAGAAAAAGTAGAAGAAAGATGGACCGAAACAACCAGAAAAGTGGGCACATGAAGGAGGAACTGAATGTCTCAGCTTGCTCTGCTCTGGGCCTCCAAAAATAATAATGGTGGGCCTTTCTCTTCTCGCCGCCTTCAATGGGCTATCTATTAAATTCAGGTTGCTCCATGTTTTTTTTGGTTCATGATATATACACCTCCTTTTTTATATAAGTACACTTCTTTTTTAAAAAAAATAATTAAATTTCTAAAATATTTTTTAATTTTTAATTTTTAATTTTTAATTTTATATCTATAATATTTAATTTAGTACTTTTTTTTCACACATCTTTTCTCATTTTTTCAATTTTTATATGCACCCCGTTACCTTTCCTTTATCCACCTATTTTGGTAGCATGTGAAAACTAAAATAAATAAAAAAAGTGTGTGAAAAAGAAAAACAAAATACCAAATTGAAAGTTGAAGGTGTAAAATTAGAAAACTAAAAAAAAACCTACAATATTTTATAATTTTTTTACAAAAAATAAAGGAGGTGTATATATCAAGAGCCTTTTGTTTTCTTCCGAATGCAAGTAAATATATGTATATATAGGGGAATGCTAATATACTCCCACCTATTTTTTAGTGGGAATATGTTAGCAACCTACACCAAAATTTTAGGACAAAAAAATCACTCATTTCTTTTGATTTGGTTAATTTGTATAAAGGATATTATAGTAATTTAATTTAATTTTAAATAAAAATAAATTATTTTCTCTCTCTTATTAGCTTCATTCTCCAATTCATTTCTTTTTTCTATTAAATGAATTGTTATTTGTTCAGAGAGAGAGAGAGGGAGACATCATGAGAGATGAGAGAGAAATGAGTTAAAGAATGAATTTAATAAGAGAGAGATAAATAAGTTAGAGAAAAAATTTAATAAGAAAGAGAAATGGGTTGGAGAAGGAATTTAATAGGAGAAAGAATGACTTAGAGATAATAAGAGAGAAAAAATATTTTATTTTTATTTAAAATTAAATTAAATTACTATAATATCCTTTATACAAATTAACCAAATAAAAAAATGAGTGGTTTTTTTATCCTAAAATTTTGGTGTAGTTGCTAACATACTCCCACTAAAAAATAGGTGGGAGTATATTAGCATTCCCCATATATATATATATATATATATGAGGAGGGTTATAATAACACTGGTGTAACTTTTATTAAGTATTACACAACTCAATAACTTTATATTAAATGTGAATTTTGTAAATCCAACCATTAGATTGAAAGTTCATATCTCTTAGATCATGTATACAAAATTTTATATTAATCCAAGATGATTTGATATTTCATTTTTATAAATCAAAATTGACGTAATATATTCATTTCAAAATACACTAAAATATGAACACTTTGATTACCTTCAAGTTGTTGTTCAATTTTAACAAAATTTGATATAAACATATAAAGTGGTATGAACTTTCAAACTAACAGTTAAATATACAAAATTAACATTTAACATAAATTTATTGAGTGATGCAATACTTGGTAAAAGTTACACCGGTGTTATTATATATCTAACCATTAGATTGAAAGTTCATACCACTTTATTTGTTTATATCAAATTTTGTTAAAATTGAACAACAACTTGAAGGTAATCAAAGTATTCATATTTTAGTGTATTTTGAAATGAATATATTACGTCAATTTTGATTTATAAAAATGAAGTATCAAATCATCTTGGATTAATATAAAATTTTGTATATATGATCTAAGAGATATAAACTTTTAATCTAAAATTTTAATATAACAGTTGGATTTAAAAAATTCACATTTAATATAAAGTTATTGAGTGATGTAATACTTAGTAAAAGTTACACCATATAATTATAACATATATATATATATAGAGAGAGAGAGAGGAGGGTCGTTTAGGGTTCAAACGACATCGATGTAACTTTTACTAAGTGTTACACCGCTCAATAACTTTATATTAAATGTGAATTTTGAAAAAATAACCGTTAGATTGAAAGTTCATATCTCTTAGATCATATATGTCAAATTTTGTTAAAATTGAACAACAACTTGAAGGTAATCAAAGTGTTCATATTTTAGTATATTTTGAAATGTTATTACGTCAATTTTTTTTTTATGAGAATGAAGTATCAAATCATCTTAGATTAATATAAAATTTGACATATATGATCTAAGAGATATGAACTTTCAATCTAACGGTTAAATTTTCAAAATTCACATTTAATATAAAGTTATTGAGCGGTGTAACACTTAATAAAAGTTACACCAGTGTCGTTTGAACTCTCCTCATATATATATATATATATGATTGTACTTTGGTTGCCACCACGGATGGAAAATTAAATCAAATTCAGCAAGTAATAACAAAAAAAATTTTAAAAAAAATAAAAGATTTGAATAAATTTTAGTCATCATATCATATTTTTATTTTATTCTTGATTTTTTTGAAATAAATTTTTATCAATATTTTTCTATTTTAGCATTAGATATTACTGGTTTATACCTTACAAAATATAAATTTTTAAATAAATTCCTCTTTTTTTTTTGTCATCTTTATCATTTTAGAAAATAGTCCTGCTTAATTTTCAATATTTATTGATCATATTATCACTTAACAAATATGAGACTAAAATTAATACAAATTAAAACAATAATTTTTTCCTAAGAGCTAAAAGCATAATATGTATACATAAAATTTGTATGTTAGAAAAAGTGTCAGTAATATTTGTTTAATGTATTTCTAAATTCTAACCTATGAAACACAGTTAAAATAGGGATAAGGGAATAAGGTGGATTGTTTGGTGCAATTGAAATAGGAGAGAGAGCTTTAAAAAGTGGTGGGACTCGTTTTTTTTTCATGCTAATGTGAGTGAAAATATATAGCAAAGGATCACCGACCAACGATTTGTGATACAATGTTTGTCCCGACATAAATATAACCATAATAAAAATTTGACTTTTAATTTATTTTGATTTATCCTTTGTCTTCTCATTCAAATTATATAACTTTGTAATATTATTTCTTTTTCATTTTTCTTAAACCAAACACTCATAATTTCACTACATAATGTTACGACTTAGCTTCCTCCCTCAATGTTATTCCTTCATGTGATTTTAGTGATTTTGTTTATTTGTTGCATCTATATATTAAGTTAATTTATGATATTAAAGTCACATGTATTAACAATACATTCTTTTAAATATATTTTTAATTATTAGATAAAATATATTCAAAACTATAATTAGTAAGTCTTGTTACTTATTTAATGAGTCTCTTTTCTTGTTTTATAATTTTCAATAAAACTTTAATCAACAATAAAACACTTGTTAAAAAAATGTGTAACTAACATTCTCAATATTCAAAAAACATAATACACATTTAGATTGTGTTTGTGAAGAAAGATAGTAAGTGGGAAAAAAATAAAGGAATAAGAGTGTGGAGAAATGAAAAGAAGTTGAAAAATGAAATGTACTTGGTATGAAGAGAAAAGGGGGGAAAATA